TTTTAAACGTGATTTAGTTTTCTGAAAGATCTCTAATACCAACTCACACCGCCGTCCACATGCCTAATTTCAGATTGACTAAAAAATAAGTAGCATGATGAGCAGCATAAGCGCAAGCTACTTAATCTTTACCTCTAGCACGTGATATCCCTAACTGCTTACTATATCCACTTGCTAACGTGCCCCTACACACCACCTTTCTTACTTTCAGACCCTCCCATCACCCAAAGCCCCCCCATCCCTGTATCTCCAGCCCTCTCGCCTGTGTCCCCTCCCTCCAACTGGTATCCCGCTCCCTCTCACCTGTATCTTCCACTTGTCACCGGTGTCTACTGGCTCCCCATTAGATTCTACTGGACATGTGAGCATGTTCAAATCTAGCATTTTAAAGGCGAAGGCCCTCCATGAGACACCTTCACACCTACCTCCCGTCTCGCCCCTTCCCAGCCTTGTTCTTAAGCAGACATGTCTGTTTTCACCCCACTCGTATTTTGAGTATTTTTATTGGGCGCCATTCAGAGCCAACAGTGCACAAGGTGCCTTACCATCCCCCAGCCTCCCCTCCCAAAGCATTTGGAAATCTTTCTGCTGCTGTGTGGGTGTGTACCTTCGTGCCTACCATGACGTGTTCACAGCGACTTCCACTTGCGGTTTTCAGTTCTGGGCAAGTGACCCCCTGCGGGGGGCTGATCCAGCCTCCCTGCTCATGACCGCCTGGCCTCAGGGCTCTTAGCTCCGACACACCCCTGCAGCTCTCAAGACCTGACAGCAGTGCACAGCTGAGCTGGGCAGCCAGCTCCAGTCACTTTTCTCCTGCACCTGGTGCTTCCCAGGGCTGTCCTAACTGCCTCTTCCCCGTTGGCCTGGGCTATGTCAGTTGTCCCTCTGTATTCACGAGGGATTGGTTTCCGCCCACTTCCGAGACCCAAATCCACGCATGCGCAAGTCCCTAGGTAGACCGGTGTCATTGCACGTGACCCGCGCACATCTTCCATAGGCTTTACACCACCCCTCGCTTACTTAGAACACCTAGTACAGTGTAGACACCTTGTACATCGTCGTTACACTGCATCGTCTAGGGCAGCGGGCTCCAACCTTCTTGGCATCCGGGGCAGATTTCGTGGAAGGCTATTCTTCCACGGATGGGGTGGGCGGTGGAGATATGCAGCCAACCTTCACTGCCAATGGTCATCTGTACGTGCAGCCGTTCCCCAGCGCTAGCATCACCACCTCATAGCATCAGGCGTTAGATTCTCACGAGGAGCAAACAATCTAGATCCCTTGCATGTGCAGTTCACAACAGGGTTTGTGCTCCCATGAGAATTGAATGCCGCTGCTGACCTGACAGAAGTTGGAGCTCCGTGCACCTGCTTCTCTCCTCCTGCTGTGTACCTGGTTCCTAACAGGCCACGGGCCAGTACCGGCCCACAGTCCAGGGGTTGGGAAACCCTGGTGCAGAAAATAATGACAGGAAAAAATCATGTGCATGTTCGGTACAGACACAACTATTCTTTTTTCTTGAATTTTTTTTTCTTGAGTTGGGAGTCTCACTCCATCGCCCGGGCTGGAGCACAGTGGCCACCCCAGCATCGACCTGCTGGGCTCTGGAGATCCTTCTACTTCAGCCTTCTAAGGAGCCAGAACTATAGGTGCATGCTACCATGCCCAGCTAATTTTTTGATTTATTATAGAGACAAGATCCGCCAAGTTGCCTGGGCTGGTCTCAAACCTGAGGGCTCAGGCAATCCACTCACCTCAGCCTCCCAAAGTGCTGGGGTTACAGGCTGAGCCACCGATCCTGGCCTTTCTTGAGTATTTTCAATCTGTGGTTGGTTGACTCCAAGGATGCAGAACTCGGGGAACCACTAACTCGCAGTAAAGTCCAGCCTGACAGCCAACAGCTGCCAGCACCTATCAGAACGTTCAGAAACATCTGGTGTTCTCGTCTTCCTGGAGAAACTGCACCTCAAGCCCCTTAACCTGCCTGATGTGGTCTGGCTGCCCTCCTCTCCCCGTCGGCCACCCTGGAGGGGACATCGTGCCTGATCTTGGTTTGTTCCCTCCCTTTACTGAACTGCATCCTCCGGTAGCTTCTGGAGAAAGACGGTGTGGCAGGCAGAAAGCCTGAGTGAGAACATGCCCTTACTGCTGCTGGTTCCTGGGTGAGATGACCCTTCTCAGCTGGGGACCACTGCCCTTCCATGTGGAAGGGACAATAATAAAAGAAACTCTTTCATTATGCAGACGATCAACTTCTTACATTGGTTCCCCGACTACTTGTTTTTTCAGTCTGTTTTTGCTCTACTTCCTGAATATTTTCTCAATTTATCCAATGGGGGTTTTCGTTCCCTTCATACGTTCAATTTTGTCTCTAAATATTCTTGGGGATATACACACACACACACACTTGACGCCGTTATTCCACGGATGCACTACGCTCTCCTCTCACTCTCTGACACGTCAGCAGTACTAGATGTTGTCTTCTCCCTGTACAGACAGTTTCCTTCTATCTCACCTGCTATTTTGATCTCCAGCCTCGTTCCACGGCTCCTTTCAGAGCTTGCCAATCCTGTGTTCGCTGCCCATGTTTAAGGGCAGAGCACTGAAGACATGTCTGCAGCTGAGCCCTGGGTGTGGTGTGCAGATAGCAGGCAGCGCCCCCCCCACGCCCCAGGCTGGCAGGACTCCCTACAGAAAGATCTGCTGGCCCTGTCCAGAGGACACACACGCTTCCCAGCTTCCCAGTTGTCATGCCTGTAAGTGTCCTGCTTTCCTTGCCCTTAGGAGTTTTTTGGGCTTTTTAATTCTTTTTTTTTTTTTTTGAGTCGGAGTCTCACTCTGTCACCCAGACTGGAGTGCAGTGGCCGCTCCCGGCCACCGCAGCCTCGACCTGCTGGGCTCCGGCGATCCTTCCGCCTCAGCCTTCCAAGGAGCTGGAATTACAGGTATGTGCTACCACGCCCGGCTGATTTTTTGATTGATTGTAGAGATGAGGTCTCGCTGCCCAGGCGGGTCTCGAACCCGCGGGCTCAGGCAATCCACTCACCTCAGCCTCCCAAAGGCGCGGGATGACAGGCTGAGCCACCGAGCCCGGCTGGGCTTTTTAATTCTTTAAACTCTTTTATTGTCCCTGTAGGGTGGTTTCAGAAGAAACCACAGTAAACACACACAAGTCCTCAAATCACCCGAGAGTTCCTCACTCACACGTTAGGCCACCGGGGTCGGTTTCTCACCTAGCTGAAGGTGACCAGCGAGCGTCGCCACTGACATCCACATGCTGGCCGAGGGCACTCCTGTCTGCCTCTGCGGTGTGCGTGTCCTTCGGCACTGGATGCCGACACTCTCGAGTCGGCGCCCCTCCAAGGCGGCCCCTGCCTGGGCCAGCCATGAGCCCAACCCCCTGCTCCCACCCCGCCTCGTGCTCCCCAGTTGGCTCCCGAGACCTCGGCCTTCTCATCCTTCTCGCTGCCTGGATGACCTCCCCGAAGCCCTTCCTCTCAACGGCCACCTGCCTAAGGCCACTCTGTATCTCTTTCCACAGAGCTCTCTGCTGAGCTGCAGACCTGTTCCCCCAGCAGCTCCTGGCCCAATTCCGCTTGGACTTCTCACGAGCAGCCCCAAGCGCCACGCTGGAAACCAAAACGAGCTGTTTCCACACGAGCCCACCTCGTCACCCATCTTGCCCGTCTCAGTGAAGAGGCTGTCCTACCTGGAGGACCAGCCAGACGATGGGTATCCCAGCACCCTGCCACCGAGTCTCCTCCTCGTCTGGGTGGCCCAAAGCCCTGCTGATCCCACCCCTCAGCCTCGGACAATCCTCCCCGTTCATGTGCATCGGAATCACGTGGGGGGCTTCCGAAGTGCTAGGCGCTGGGCCTCACCCCCAGGGCTTCTGCCCAGCAGGCCAGGGTGAGGGTTGCACGGCTAAGGATCCCAGGTGATGCTGCCGCTGCCCTGGGCACACGCTCTGAGCAGCACCAGCCCCGCGGGCTTCCTCTCCACTGGCCCCGAAGCTGCCCTGGTTCCACCCACTCATACTGTCTTGCTGAGAACACAATCATGAGTCTTTCACTCATTAGACCTTCTTAAAACTGAAAACACCCTCCAAACTACAGCAGGGTTTTCTTTTTAGATAAATGGCCAGAGGTCAGAAGACAGTGGACGCTGTTGGACTCGGCTCAGAGACCGATGAGAGGAATTCTCGGGGCGATGCCAAGCCCCGCCCTCCATGCCAACAGCTCCCTGACATGGATGGATGGCAAAAACATCAAGCAGGTTTTTTCACTGGTGGTTTCTGTAAAAATGCCCTTCTCGTGACATCCACCCGGCTCCCCAAGCATAGGAGATCCAAATAGCCACCGGGCACCCGGCCCACCTCTCATCCACAGACTCTGCCCCTCCAGGGCTGTGCCTCCATTTCCCTTTCAGGGTTTTCAGATCTTCGGCTGTGCCCGCAGAATCACACGGTCTCACCTCCCTATTTAAGCCATGAGCTCCCAGTGAGGTGCATGCCACATCTCACACATTGTAGAGCTCCCCCATGGCACCTCTGCCTCATTTTCGATGTGCCAATTACCACCCTGGACATCACGTCTCACACTCTGCTTGGTGCAGCCTGTGGATGGTGACAGAGCTGTTGAAAAGAGTGAACAGAGCCATACGCAGTGGCTCATGCCTGTAACCCAACACTTTGGGAGGCTGAGGTGGAAGGATTGCTTGAGGCCAGGAGCTCAAGACCAGGATGGACAACATAGCGAAGACCTTGTTTCTACAATAAAATTTAGAAATCAGCCAGGTGTGGTGGCATGTCCCAGTTACTAGGAGGCTGAGGCAGGAGGACCGCTTGAGCCTAGGAGGTCAAGGCTACGGTGAGCTGGGACCATGTCACTGCACTCTAGGCCTGGGCGGCAGAATGAGACTCTCTCTAAGAACAAAAAACGTGAAATGGGATAAAGAGAAAGTTCAAAGGACAGCGCTGAAGCAGGTGTCACACAGATACGGCCAGTGCTACGGTGCTTGTTTAATTGAAACCTTGTAATAAAAGTTTAAATACATAAAATGTTTTTTTATCAAAAAAGCAGCCCCTGCCTCCCCAACCTGATGCACACGGAGGGTGGTGAGCGGAGACAGGCGTGTGCAGGGAACGGGGAGCCGGCAGGTCCAGCCGGGTGGGCGTCTGCTTCCTCAGAGCCCAGTGTCTCGGGGGGAGCCCTGCCCCGCTGGCTGGCCTCAGCGCGTGGGGCCCCCAGCCTGCCACTCTGCGCCATGGAGAAGGTCCGCCTGGCTCAGAAGACGAGGAAGAGCAGGGCCTCGTGCCGCGGCAGCACGATATTCTCCACGGTGCGCACCATGGCACGCACCTGCTCTGGGGAGGCCGTCAGGAAGACCAGTGGCCCGATGCGCTGCTCCACACAAGAGTGGCACAGGTAACCGCCCTTGTTCTCCTTCCTGTTGCTCTGGGGGACGGAGGAGAGAGAGGGGAGGCACCATCAGAGTCGCCACCAGAAAGCCCTGAAGGGTTGTCTCGGCTGCCCAGGGCGACGCACTGGGACTCGGGGTCCACAGACCCTCGGAAGGGGCACTCTCACAGCACTGTCCCCATGGCGGCTCAGCTGTACAAGCTTCCTGAGCGCAGAAGCCGCCATGCCTCTGGCTGAGATGAAGAACCGAAGAACCGAGGACAGCTGAACTGGGCCCAGCAAGCAGTTACCCTCCTAGGCGTCCACCACATGAGGGCCACGTACCCTGACCTCGGACTCCAGGCAGACTCACACCTCCCGTGCCTCGCGGACAAAAGGTCCCCCGCGGAGGACGACACAGGCCTCCCGCCCTCACCCATGACCCAGATGTGCGCACAGCTCACACGCAGAGCCACCCCGACATCTAAGCCCCACGACCGCCACTGTGGTGATGGAACCACGTACGTAGGTGATGGGGAGTTTCTTCATGGTGAGGACGGTGTCAACGGGGATGGCGTTATCACACTGCCCCACACAGCAGCGAACCACTCCCGTCTTTAAAACGCTGCTCGTCAGCTCTGCTTGCAGGAAATACTCCTGGGAAGGGAAGAGGAGAAAGAGAACAGTGACCGCTGCCACGCTGGCCTTGAAATTAATGAGGGGGGGCGAGCCTGCGGACGCCCCAGCTGCCCTCAGGTTCTCTAACCGTTCCTGCCTCCGCAGCCACCAACAGCCCCACTGGCTTCTTGGGAAAACTACTGAAGAAAAACACGGAACGGAAAAGCAGGCAAAATGGTCTACAATGGTATTTCAGTACTATTTCTGGATTTTTTTGCCTTATGTTAACACATCCCCAACTCAACCATTAGAAAGTGATTTGTGTGTTCAGTTACAACCCAGGGAAGCAACACGGCAGACCTTGGTAAGACTTGCCCAAACTGGCCCTGCTCACGTCCACCTCATGTCCACCTGCCCAGGACAACAGCTGAGCTGGCAGGAAAATGACTTTTTAGCCCTGTTAAGTCTGCTTTTTTATTTTTTGGAGATAAGGTCTTGCTATGTTGGCCTCAACCTCCTGATCTCAAGCAATCCTCCCACCTCAGCCTCCCAAAGTGCTGGGATTACAAATGTGAGCCACCACACCCAGCCCACGCCTTTCTTTATCTATAAAATGTAGGTAGCATGGTATTGTTGTGAGAAGAAACGCCACAATACATGCAAAGTGAGCACCCAGTGCGCACCCAAAAAACGTGGGTGACCTCCTAGACCAGAAGAGCCGCAAGGACAGGCAGCTGCCGCCCGAGGAGCTCCGTCTCTCACGGACGCCCCCGCGGGAGGCGAGCACCGCCATCGATGAGCTCACGCCTCCTGGGTCGTGACTGGTGTCAATCGAGTTTCCTACAACCTGTGTCCCACACTGGATGTATCTGGTCTCTCCCGCGGGTCCTACCTGCTGCAGAAACAGAAAACACATAAACACCCAAGTTCTGACCAAGGAGTGCTGACCAACTGACCAAGTGAAATCCTCTTTAAAATAAAAGGCAAAGGCCAGGCCAAGGCGAGAGGATGGCCTGAGTCCAGGGGTTTGAGATCAGTCTGGGCAACTTGGTAAGACCTCGTCTCGTCTCTACAATAAGTCAAAAAATTATCCAGGCATGGTGGCGCACACCTGTAGTTCCAACTTCTAAGAAGGCTGAGGCGGAAAGATCACCTAAGCCCAGCAGGTCGAGGCTGCAGTAGCCATGAACATGCCATTGCACTCCAGGCTGAGCAAAAGAGTAAGACTCCGATTCAAAAATAAAAATAAAATACAAGTAGAATTTTGCAGAAGCACTTTGCCTCGCCCCGTTCCATTCCCCAGAAGCCCTAGTAGCTATCGGGAGCCGGCAAGGTCCTTCTCAACCCCCTGCCCCCCCCCCGAGATCGTTTCCCATCCGCACATGCGTCCCAGAGCACGGGTCTCGCCTCCCCCACATGGGTCTGTCCACATAGGTGCTCACACTGGCTCCTTCCCTGTGAGTCATTCTCTCAGCACTAAGGGGACCCGCCCACCCCACGCTCTCCCACGTCACTTCTCGCTTCCCTTGCTGGGGCTACGCCGGGTGTTCCCAAACTCCGTCCAACAAGGTGGCCAAGAGTCCCTTGGACAGGTTCCCACCCATGAGCTCCTCCAGGGGGGTCTGTAGACATCCTGACCCACTCGCCGGCCCAGCTACACACAAAGACAGGCACTTGAAGAAATGTCAATAAAAGTCGCCCAGACCTACTCAGGCTCACGTGCAACATGCTTTGGTTTCTTTAGAGACTTTATGCCGTTTCCCTTTTTTAAGGTTGACATAAGCCACCACATTAATTTTTTTTTACGTTTGTGTTAACTTAAAAGGTACAAGTGCAGTTTTGTTACATGGATGCCTGACGTCTTGATGAAGTCTGGGCTTTCAGTGTGTCCGTCACTCGAACAGTGTACACTGGACCAATTCACTAAGTTCTCACCCCCGCCCTCTAAACTAATTTCGTCAGTCATTCCTGATCTGCAGCCACGCCTTGAGCAGCACCACGCCAGGGCAGCAGGGCACATGCACTTGGGTCCTGGGCCCTTCACACCACTAGATGTTAAGGCTCCACAGAGCTTGTGTCTGAGTCACCAACGTCTAAAGAACCTTAAACTAAGAAATGCCGAAAATATCAATTCCTTTTAAAACTAACACTAAGTCCATTACATACTAACTTTTCTGTTTATATTTGAAACAACTCTATTTTCTTTCTTTTCCTGTTAAAGACAGGTTCTGGTTCTGCCTCCCAGGCTGGGATGCAGTGGTCACTGAGCCTTGAACTCCTGACCTCAAGCGTTCCTCCTGTTTCAGCCGCCCAAGTGGCCGGGACTACAGCAACACAGCACCACGCCCAGCTAATATTTACATTTTTTAAAAACGAGAGACAAAGTCTCGCTGTGTTGCCCCGGCTAGCCCCTGAGCTCAAGCAGTCCTCCCACCTCGGCCTCCCAAAGTGCTGAAATTACAGGCGTGAGTCACGGAGCTGGCCTTTCTGCACATCTCTTTAATATCTAGCCTGATAGAGGCATCTCTGGCTGTTCTTCTCTCTATCTGTGTTCAGTCTGTGATGACACGTGCACAGAGGAAAGCAGAGTGAGGACATGGTGAGAGGGTGTCAGAAGAAACCAAACCCGCCAACACCTTGACCTTGGACTCTGAGCCTGCAGAACAGTAAGAAATACATTTCTGTTGGTTACATCCCCTCCCCCCAGAAAAACAATCTGTGCTGATATCACTTCAGGTGGCCTCTGGGGATGCCACCGCACACTTGTGAGCGTATTTGAGTGAAACAGCCGAGTAACCCCTAACAGTGAGTGTTACATGCACAATATGTCCACTGTCAACAGGATATATCTTACAGGTACAACTTTGGATGGTGTGTACTCCATGTAAAGTATGAACTATGTACACAGCATTACAAGTATAATACATACAGTATTACTACTCCATGTATAACGTAAATAGTATATATTACATGCATGACGTGTACATGCATAATGTGAACATAGCATCATGGGCATGTGTACTGTGAACATTGTTACACATGTAATGTGCACTGTGAACATAGCATTATGTCCACAATATACACTGTGAATCGCATGTGTACACACAGAATTTGTACTGTGAACACAGTATACATTTCCTGTGTAATATATACTAAGAACGCAGTATTACTTGCATAACGTACTGTGCAGTGTGTATTACATATAACAAATACTGTCAACAGTGTGTTACATATAAACCATGTATGACAGACACAGTGTTATACACATAACATGTACTGTGAACACTGCTACATGTATGACGTGTTATGGACACAGTTTGCAACATGCATTACATGTACTGTGAACAAAGTGTGTGTATTACATACATAACACGTCTTGTGTTGACCCTCTTCTGGAACCCTGGAAGGCAAACCTGACACCGGCAAGATGCACTACGTGACAGTGGCAGCGAGCACCCAGCTCAACATGCACAGCACGCCCTCCAGAGGCAGGTACCACCATTGCGCCAGTTTCACAGATAAAGTCGCCAGAGTATCCAACCACAGAGTGGTTCCAGCGTGCCCAGGGCCTGAGGCGGAGTGAGGAGCTGGAAACGAGCCAGCCTGGCCAGGCAGAGCTCTCACACGAGGGCCACACAGGACGACGTGGACACACTGGGTGGGCAGGCCCCTAAGGACGTATTCGTGAGGCCGGACTTGGGGTCTCAGCCGCTGGGAGGCCCCTGGCATGATGTCACATCTGAACCCTGCAGCAATGCAGTGATGCCCTTTCACTTCCGCCGAATGTCAGGAAACAGGTGAACGAGGACCCAGCGACGGGATGAGCTACGCTTTCCGAGGGGCTCGGAGGACAAGAGCGCCCGGCTCCCGGCTAGAGGGAGGTTATGGGCAGCAGAGAGCAAGGGTGCACTTTTTGTCTCCGAAATGCTAGCCTGGACCGCACCATGGACCCCAAGGACCCGCCATCCTGCACATGCTTCCCAGCCTCTGACCATCACTCCACACATACCCTTTGGCCTTCCCTCTGAGCAGAGGCTGGACTCGGCCAGTTCTGAAACAGGACGGCCCCCGTTTATTCACAGGCTATGACCTTTTAAAAAAGCAGAAATGCTCCCCTCGCACGAGGCCCCCCGGCCTTATGTCTGGTCACACCGATGGGCAGTTGCCCCAGCTTCCTCTGAGGGCCTGCGGGCAGACAGAAGCTTCCCAGGCTGGTCTCAGCAAGGGGAAGTAGCTCTCTAGACCCCACATTCTTGCCTCCCACAGAAGAAACAGAAAAGGCACGCAGCGACCAACCCACGAGCTTCCAATCAGCTTTAAAAGGCCAACTTCACTCTTACTTCACAACTATGGGACTCTCAAGTAACATGACCTCCATGAAAAATCTGGCAACATCTAGAAAAATCACACCACACCTGCATTTCTCTTTACCAAGCAATTCCACATCTAGGAAGACACCCTCCTGATGCACAGAAGACGCAAAATGACTCAAGGGAGGAGGATGTACCGTGGCATCATTGGGAACAGGGGCTGAAGCAACCCAACATCCATGGCAAGGGGTGCATCAACAGAGATACTGCTCAGTGGGAACGAGAAAACTCTGAGAACTGACAAAGCATCAAAACAAGTATACAACCACATGTGTGGAGGCCGCCATCTGTGAAAAGGGAGGGCAGAGAAATACACGCAGGTGTGCTGCAATGTGCAAAAAGAAAACCCGAGGCATACAGGAGCAGCTCTCTAAACCAGCTGCCAGTGGGAGAGAGAGCATAGCCTGATGGGACAGGGAGGAGATGGGGCTTCTCTCATTACAAAGCTTTGACTTTGAAAACACAAACAGGGCTGGGCACGGTGGGCTCACACCTGTGATCTCCACACTTTGGGAGGATGAGGAGGAAAGATCACTTGAGTCCAAGAGTTCGAGACCAGCCTAAGCAGCACAGTGGGACCTCGTCTCTACGAAAAAAATTAAAAAGTAGCCGAGTGTGGTGGTGCATACCTATAGCCTCCTACCTAAACAGGAGGCTTAGGTGGGAGGATCACCTGAACCCAGGAGGTCACAGCTGTGGTAAGCCTTGATTGGTCTACCACACTCCAGCCTGGCCAACAGAGTAAGACCCTGACTCAAAATAACTAACTAAATAAATGGATAAATAATAAAATTTCTACTAAAAAACACAAATAGGCTTCACACATTCAATAACATATAATTAAATAAAAAAGAAGAAGCGCAATCTCTACAGGAACCATAAATAAACAACACGTCTAACTGAACATTAAATTGGTGATAAGGCCACAGAGGGAAAAGGGACTTTTCTTCTTTTTTTTAAGTGACTTCAGAACATGACATTTTGACTCTATCTTATTAATGGAATATATCAAGGGAAATGGAGCTGTCGGGCAATCTTTAATTCCACCCTATTCCAATATTAATAGCAATATTGATATGATTTTGAATATTTGTTTGGAATACATGGAATTATATAAATAAGTAATAAATACGTTAGGATTCAAAATTTTCAGTGTGAGAGAAAAGATTCAAAGGGGACAGAAGTAGTAGTAAAAATCCCTTCATGCTGGCCAGGCGCAGTGGCTTATGCCAGTGAGTCCCAGCTCTTTGGGCGGCTGAGGCAGGAGGAGCGCCTGAGCCCAGGACTTCAAGGCCTGCCTGGGCAACATAGCAAGACCCCATCCCTACAAAAAATTAAAAATCAGCCAGGCATGGTGGTGCGCACCTGTAGTCCCAGCTACTCAGGAGGCTGAGACAGGGGGACCACTTGAGCCCAGGAGACCGAGACTACGATGAGCTATAATTGTACAACTACACCTCCAGCCTAGGTGACAGAGTGAGACATTGTCTCTAAAAAGAAGTTTAAAAAATGCCTTAGCCGGGCTCGGTGGCTCAGCCTGTAATCCCGCACCTTTGGGAGGCTGAGGTGAGTGGATTGCCTGAGCCCACGGGTTCGAGACCCCCCTGGGCAGCGAGACCTCATCTCTACAATCAATCAAAAAATTAGCCGGGCGTGGTAGCACACGCCTGTAATTCCGGCTACTCGGAAGGCTGAGGCGGGAGGATCGCCGGAGCCCAGCAGGTCGAGGCTGTGTGGCCGCGAGCGGCCACTGCACTCCAGTCTGGGCGACCGAGTGAGACTCCAACTCAAAAAACAACAACAACAAAAAAAAACCCAGCAAAAAAATGCCTTAATGTGACAGCTGACCTGGATGACAGAACCACAACTCGTGAGAGTCGCACGTGCACAAGGCCAAAGGCTCTGGCGATGAGAGTCGGTGCAGCTGTGGAAAGCTGGGAGCAAGAAGGTGTCAGCGTCCTGTTTTCAGTCCCTGGCGGTGGAGGCGGCGCACACCTGGTACAAAACTGTGCAGTAAAGCAAGACAGTGCTTCTCGCAACAGCCAGGAGTCACTCTCGGGGGAGGGGGGTGGAGAGCACGACCACGGCGAGGGGCCATGCGGACGGCATCCATGGGGCAACAGATCCCATCTCCTGACTGAGTGGACGCTCACTGGGTCCTAACTTTGACCTGCTTTATGCCGGTCCATATATTTGTGTTATATTTAACAAAAGGGTTACATTAAAAGTCTGGATTGGGCCAGGCCGGTAGCTCATGCCTATAATCCCAACACTTTGGGAGGCCGAGGTAGGAAGATTGACTGAGTCCAGAAATTCGAGACCAGCCTGAGCAACACAGTAAGATCTCATCTCTACAAAAAGATCCCAAAATTAGCCAGGTGTGGTGGCTCATGCCTGTAGTCCCAGCTTCTCAGGAGGCTGAGGAGGAAGGATTGCCTGACCCCAGGAAGTTGAGGCTACAGTGAGCCGTGATTGTGCTACTGCACTCCAGCCTGGGTGACAGAGTGAGGCCCTGACTCAAAACAAACAAGCAAAGTGTGTAACTCAAAGTTTCTAGGTAGAGACTATCTGTATATAAAGATGCTATTCGGCTTAGCTCCTGGGGTTCTGGTTTAGAGACTAAGAAAAGTCACACTTATCTTTAAATCAGGAGTCAGTTAACCACAAGTGAGTGTTGCCCTGACCAGTGGCTGCTGTTGTAAATAAAGTTTTACTGGAACATGCCTTGCTCATGCACTTACGGACACACGATACCTGCTCTTGTGCAACACGGCACAGCTGAGCTGCTGCCCTGAGACCATGCGCCCTGCGGAGGACACAGCAGCTGCTTGTCTGGCCTGCCACGGGGAGCCCAGGTGCCACTAAAGATGCGACCCACAAGTGGGCTGCAGGTCTAAGTGCTGACACTTCAGCTGTCACACGCGAGGCCCTGGGGAAAAGCTGCTTTGGGAAAGCGGACTTCAAATGCTAGAAACATTCTGAGGGTCAGACGAGTCCATCTCAGAGAGGCATGGGGGGAGCTGACAAAGGGGACACGCGAGAGGAAGTGTGACAGACATGCACGCTCGTCAGCCATCCGTGACGCTTCTGCCACTGAGACGGGGCACACGGAACCTTCATTTGCCAAGCTCCTCCCCTTTAAAGCCTTGATGTCACCTTCCTAAAAAACATGAAGAGAAAGCCTGTCTGCCCACTTGCTTGTCTGTCTCCTCACCCAGACGTGGCATTACACCCGAGGCCCGGGAGCCCCTGGCAAATGTCAGGCATTTGATAAATGTCCCATGACAAGCGTGGAGGTTCCACCACCCCGTGAGAACTCTGAGAACTGTGTAGCATCTCCGGAAGATAACAACTGCCCACCTGCCTCGACCCTAAGGGTCAAGCCCACAACTAGAAATGCTGCCCAGTGCTCCCAACACGCTTCTCCTTGCCAGGAGGAGTACCACTGTGCTAAGGCATCCTGCCGTGCAGACTCGGACGTGGCTTGGAGGTGCTAGGGAAGAACGAGTGTTCACACTTACTTTCACCCTCAGGTTTCAGGCCAGCAGTAACCGTTGGCTCAAATTTCTGTTCTAGTTTCCAGCAGGGCTGAAAAGACCCCAGTCGTGAAAGGCAGAAAAGAGATTAAAATAAGAAAGGCCAGCTGTGGTGGCTCACACCTGCAATAATCAGTCTTCTGGGCAGTAACACTTGAGACCAGGAGTTCGAGATGAGCCGGGGCGACAACATCTCTACAAAAAGTGAAAAAAGTAGCCACATGTGATGACACACACCTGTAATCCCAGCCACTTGGAAGGCTGAGGCAGGAGGATTGCACGGGCCCAGGGGGTCGAGGCTGCAATGAGCCGTGCTCGTGCCACAGCACTCCCAGCCCGGACAACACAGCAAGCCCCGTCTCTTAAAAGCAGATGAACAGAGTGGGGGGGGAGGTGGCTTGGGGAGGCAAAGAAGGACCTGCCGGCTCTTCTGCATCTCGGAGGAAGGCCAGGCACCTGAGCACTTGCTCTCCCGGCAAGGCCGAGCTCCGCAAAGCCTCACGGGGGCGCAGCAACTGCCGTTTCCAAAGGGCCTGGGGCGGGAGGGAGGAGGCTGGTGCAGCAAACACCCTGGCCGGCTTCTCCCCAAGAGAGCTGAGAACGAACTGAGCACAGGAGAAATTAAACACGGGCACACGGACACGTGGCAGCTTCGGCAGACCTTTTCCACTGGACCAGCGGAGAGCTCAGCAGAGACGTACGCCTTTCTTCTCCGAACACTCCCCGCACTGGCAGTCGGCCTCCGCAGGCCCGCAAAGCCCTCCTCTACCCTGGAGCCCAACCCGAAGACCTCCGAGGGCCGCAGTGGGGCCCTCGTGCAGACCAAACAAAATCCACATGCTGTCACATCAGCTTGTGCCACCCATTCCTCTTACCCCTGCCAAAGTCAAAATGTTTTCCAGCGATTTGGTCATGATGAGCCGCTTCCTGGCACGAGTTACTGCAACATACAGTAGGTTCCATTCATCCTCGGAAAATGACTCTAAAGCAAGCAAAGGGGGAAATCAACGGAAAAGCCAGCTGACAGAAGCGTCTGTTCTCATCGAACGCTCACTACCCCACCCACCCCGCAAAATCCCACTCAGACTTGCCAGCAGTGTGTACAAAACGCTCCTACAAACGCCAACTCCAAGAGGAAACAAAACCAGCAGGCCAGCAGCACAAAACAGTCCCGCTTGGAAACCCTGGGGACGTGCCCGCTGGCTCTTCAGCCCCTGTGAGGTGCCAGGTCAATGTTTATGTCCATTATGCCAGTCTCCTCAGAGTTGTGGCGCAACTTCAAATGGTTTTATTCTAAGATTTAAAACCAAACAGTAACACTGATATCTAGAGTTTAACAACTAGCTTTAAGCATAACTAAAAAGCAAACAAAGCCAAGCACAGTGGCTCACACCTGTAATCCCAGCACTTTGGGAAGCTGAGGTGGGAGGACTGCTTAAGCCCAAAAGTTCGAGACCAGCCTGGGCAACATAGCAAGGCCTCCTACAAATGCCAACTACAAAAAACAATTTAAAAAGTGAGCCAGGGGTGGTGGTGCATGCCTGCAGTCCCAGCTACTTAGGAGGCTGAGGCTGGAGGATCGTCTGAGCTCAGTAAGTCAAGACTGCAGTCAACCATTATTGTGCCACTGCACCCCAGGCTGGGTGACACAAGGAGACCCCAACTTGAAAAAAACAAAACAAAAAAGCAGGACAGCAATCAAGAGTGCTATTTCTCCTTTCACAGCTTGCTGACCTCTTTAATAAAAGGGGAATTAATTAAAGAAAACCACCTTGGTAAGCAGGTAAGATGCATGTCTGAGCGCTTTAATGAGGCACAGGTGTGTGGTAAACAGGGCCACAAACACACATACTCCCAACAGCAGCCCGAGGGGTGGCACCTGGGAAGTCTGGTTCTTTTACAAAACACAGTGTAAGTCGGGCTCAGTGGCTCAGCCTGTAATCCTGTACTTTGGGAGGCTGAAGTGAGTGGATGGCCTGAGCCTGCGGGTTTGAGACCCGCCTGGGCAACTTGGCGGGACCGCATCTCTACCATAAATCAAAAAATTAACCAGGTGTGGTAGTGCGCGCCTGTAATTCCAGCTACTTGGAAGGCTGAGGCGGAAGGATCGCCGGAGCCCAGCAGGTCGAGGCTGCGGTGGCCGGGAGCATGCCACTGCACTCCAGACTGGGCGGCAGAGTGAGACTCCAACTCAAAAAAAAAAACACACAGCGTAAGAGCCAGATGTTTCAGCGTAGGAGACATTTTCACTTTTTTGCTTTCTAGATGGACCCCCTGGGCGGCCACACGGTACAGCCCAAACCATGGCCATCCGAGGGCAGCACCCAGTCAACCCTGCCCTGCTGACACCAGGGCGCCCATGTCCTTACCCACGCGGAAGTGGGGTAGCTGGGACAGGTTATGCCGGGCACAAGGCACTTTCACGAAGTCATCCAGAACGTGCACAGTGTCGAACTCCAGGCCCTTGGCTTTGTGCACAGTGCCCAAGATGTACTCTATGGGAAAACAGCACACGTCACGTGGGGCTGTGCAGGGGAAGAGGCAAGAGACAAAAAGCCCACGCATCCCTTGACTCAAGTCTGACTGTTCTTGCCTGAGTGGCTTGGTGGGAAAAGGGGAAGGAGGGAACGATGGCGTGGGGAAGGAAGAAAAGGATGAGGCCCACGTCGGAAATCGGCTGCAGGGGAGTCAGTCCCTTCCGGAGTCACAGCCTGGAAGCCAGGTGGTCTTCCCTGCCCCCCATGCTTTACACATAAGGGACAGAGGCCCGGAAGTAGGGCTGCGTGGCAGAGCTGGTATTGAAGACCACGCCCCAGGGGCCCGGAGTCGCCCGGAAGTCAGAGGTCGCCAAGGCAGGGCTGGAGCTCTGCCCACTCTCCCTTCACCAGGAAAGCCAGGCTGGGCCCCGCCATCTCGTGCAGGTGAGCCATGCCAGAAGCCCCCGGGTCCCCTCCTGGCGGGAGGTGAACTCCAACCACTGCCCTCACCTGCAAAGTCCAGGTCTTCGATGTGGCACCTTTCAATCCTGGCCACCAGTTCTGGGATCCTGATGTTGTACTTTTCGACCACAGCGATCTTGGCTTCGAGCTCCTTGTCCTCGGCAGCCGTCACATACCTCTTGAAGCCACTGAAGCCTTCTTTGTGTACCCATCTTCTGATAAATCTGTCTTTGATGATGAGGTTTTCTAAGGAGAATACACACACAGGTCAGTGTGACACGGCCACGCTGAGAGTGGTGACAGCAGATGCACATCCCTGACAATGGCATGACAGCGGACGGCCCTGGCGTGGGGAGACCAGGCTCCAGGCCCGGCCGCATCACTAACCCGCTGTGTGTCCCTGGCAAGTCAGCGCTCCAGCCTCGCCCTCTGCAGCTGAGGCTCGCGAACACGGGCCCACGACCCTCACCCCTTCACAGGGTCCTGAGACAGCGCACTCGACGGAAGGGGTAAGCGCTACAGAAACTCTTTCTGCAAGTTGTTGTCTGGGGTGCATGTGGACATGCCAATGCACAAAGCTGCCCGGACAGACAGAAAGGTGTGGGTCAGACAACCTAGGGGACCCATGTCTGAGAGAAACTGAGACTCCTGAGAGAAGGATCTGGAAAAACCTGTCAGTACCTATGAAAACAGGAGGCCTCAGGCACACTACTCTTTTTGGGAAAAGAGCCACACTACCTCCTGTCTCTGGAAGGAGAGCGAGACACTGGCTGGGGGCCAGTCTGCTCCTCTCCTGTCCCTGCCACCGGCGCGTGGCCTTCCACTGCACAGGCCAGGCGAGTACTCACGTTTCTTCCGTTCTTCCTCTGGCTGAAGGAGGATCCAAATATCAATGATTCTGTCCAATCCAAATGATTTAATCCCCTAAAAAAGTTTTTTGGTGGGATTTTTGTTTTTTTGCTGTTTTTCTGTTTTGTTTTGTCTGTTGTCATTTTAACAAAACAAAGTAAGGCAAATGTAGGGATGGGATTCTGAAATGAGATGGTTTCTTGGCAATGAAATGCAAACTCCACCCACGGCACAGAAACAAGCTGGAAACTTCGTCACACACAGCGCTGGGCTATCATGTGGCCTGAACACCCGGAATTAGCACCCTCTACACTGTGGCTGAGACCCCAACTTGTCCTGTCTTTTAAAAAAAAATACAAAATCTCGCCAGGCTCGGTGGCTCAGCCTGTAATCCTGCGCCTTTGGGAGGCTGAGGTGAGTGGATTGCCTGAGCCCGTGGGTTCGAGACCCGCCTGGGCAGCGAGACCTCATCTCTACAATAAATCAAAAAATCAGCCGGGCGTGGTAGCGCATGCCTGTAATTCCGGCTACTTGGAAGGCTGAGGCGGAAGGATGGCCGGAGCCCAGCAGGTCGAGGCTGCGGTGGCCGGGAGCGGCCACTGCACTCCAGTCTGGGTGACAGAGTGAGACTCCAACTCAAAAAAAACCCAAACAAACAAACTCTAGTTACACGTTGCTTTCCCATCAATGTAAGGGCAACTTAAGTCTATCTTCCAGAAATATAGACTGGTTGCAAAGAAGAACACCAATGTTTACTGAAGACAAAGTGCTGGGAATAATACTTACCACTGTTTCTTGAGAAAAGAGCCAGAGAGTGTCTCCGGGCCCAGATTATTCTATGTGTGACCAAGTCAGCTCCTGAGGACAGTCTAATTGTGCCATGCCCAGCCCAGGTCTACCTGAGAAGCACCTGCCAAGTGCCGGGCCCCAGAGCTCTCACGACCCAGACCCAGCGCGGGAGACAGATGTAACATGGGCTCCACACCACAAGGGCCTGTCGTCTTCTGGGGAGGGACACACAAAACACTGACACAAAACAGAGACTGAAACAGACAGTGAGTGCTGCGATCACAACCAGATGCGGGACCACGTGTGATGGCACATGACACAGGCAGTAAGCGGGTGGGAGAGAGAAGAAGAGGAGAACTTCCTTGAGATCACACCTGGCAGGGCTGACATTCTAAAAATACCATTCCCTTACAACAGCGAAAATGGCTATATTAACCCTAGACGCATTGGATGAAGCAGTACAAGGTCAAAGCAGCAATGAAGAAACGTGCTTATGCATTGAGTGAAAAACAGCATACATTTCTATGTACACTATCACTGCAATTATGCAAAAAACACATCCGTAAGGACAAAGACCAGAGTAAGTGGCAGAAATGAGAATTCTTATATGAAATACTGGGGTTATGTGATTGTTTTTAAGTTGCTAAAAATTGCTACGTTTACAAAATTTTCATGACAAGAAAACATAAAACATCAAAATTAAACTACGCTTCATGACGGGCTTACGGGGTGTCCAACACACAGCAGGCCCTTGAGAACACGTTTTCCATAAAGGTCATCTAACTCTGCTTCAGAGTTAAAAATGCCATGAACACGCCACTGAGGCCCCCAACTCCCAGTGAAACAGGTCAAGGGAGGCACTGTCTTCTCTCAGAGATGGCGAGAATGGGCACACAAAGTTGTGACTTGCCCTGGGCCACACAGAGTTAGTGACAAGCCAGAGATGGAACCCGGTGCGACTGCTCAGCGGCCGTCGCACTACAGAAGGCGCACAGCCCGAGATGCTCCGGGCCTGCAGCCGCCTGTGCGTCCCCAAAAGACGACATTTGCTTTCTTCACAATTTTTATTTATGACTTATTTTACGTTTTTTTTAGAGCCAGGGTCTCATTCTCATCACCCAGGCTGGAGTGTAGCCTTGACCTCCTGGGCTCTACTGATTCTCCCGCCTCAGCCTCCTAAGTAGTTGGGACTACAGGCAGGAGACACCAGCTAATTTTACTTTATTTTTAAACAGATGGGGGTCTTGCTATGTTGCCCAGCTGATCTCAAACTCCTGGCCTCAAGCGATCCTTCTGTCTCAACCTTCCGAAGTCCTGGGATTACAGGCATGAGCCTCCACACCTAGCCTCGTTTTTTTAAAGGTGGAAGAAGTGGTCCTTAGCCCTTACCGGGTCTACTTTATAGAAATGTTTCACTAGCACAGTCAGAGGGCCAGGGGCAGAGTCTTTATTCACAGGGCAGCCTTTTTTGCATACTAATCCCAACGAAGCGGAACACTCTCACTGGTGTGACCGTCTGCAATGTTTCTGTGCATGAAGTAGTCAACAGGAATTCGCTCTTACCCCAATTAAATGTATCCTTGAAGGTGCATCCCCTTCGGTCACCCGGACGGCCTCATCAAACACGTTGGCATTGGTCCGAGACAACAGGGCCACTTGCCCCTTGGCATCACCTCTAATGCCACCTTTGGGGAGAGAGCACAACCTCTATGGCAAATCAAAATAAAGAGGAAAATGTACTGCGCTAACTAGCCAAGGAAGAGAAACTACAAGCCTTACTCTGATGGTTTCCTCCGACCAATGTCTTCTTCCTCACTCTCTTGCAAACATCCAAGATCGTGGCTCCCACATAAGCAATCTCCACACCAAATCTAAAACTCTGTTGGCAAACAGCAGAACAAAGGGGGTCGACAGCTGGCCCTGCACTCGTGAGTGCCAAGGCCTGGCCTGGCTGAGCAGGACCAGTTATTCCTGACCTGCCCTAAGGTGAAGGGACCTCAACAAGTTCACTTTCAAGATCCTGTACAACCTAATCGTCTTGATTCCCCAACACCAGTAGGAAACTTTTCTTTCCTTAAATTAATCTAGAGACGTTTCAACCAGGGGCCCCAACGCTATCAGGAACAGGATGCGCAGCGGGTGGGGGCGGGCGGCGGCCCTCTGCCTCCCGTCAGATCAGCAGCAGCATCAGATTCTCATAGGAGTGCGCACCCTATTGTGAACCGCGCATGTGAGGGATCTGGGCTGCGTGCTCCTTAGGAGATTCTCACGCCTGATGGTCCCCCCAGCCTGTGGAAGTTCATCTTCCACGAACCGGTCCCTGACGCCACTTTAAGCTATACAAAAGAGTAAGGGGGGAGGGAGGGCTTCCCGCTTACCTTTGAGACCACTTCAACATTACCCGTAAAACCACTGCCCCGCCCAGCCAGCCTCGGGTAGACACGTTATGACCTGAGTGTCCCTGTGCTCCCTCACCGGGGCTTGTGCCATTTCTGGCCACCCAGAAGTCGTGTGCATTCATCAAGTCATCTCCTGCCCATCAAAACTCAGCCCGAGACTCCTCCAGCTGGAAAGACCCCGTTCTTTCCCCGGCTTATGGTACCGCCAGCCTGTTTCCACATTTTCACAACTCGGGTAGCAGCAGCATATGCTCTGGCGAAAGGCAAGAACAGTCACAGGAAAACTAGCCTCTCAAAAGCAGCTCTTTGCTGCCATAAACCCATTCTGACTGCACTGGAACCCGAACCATAAAACAAGTAACCGTAAGTCCATGCTGAGACAGATAAATGACGCACAAGAATTCCAAATAATCTACAAAGATACTCCGGCACATGCTCCTCGGGGTGCACTGAGTACAGGGCCTTCCCAAGCACACTGTGAGAAAGGGAGGAAGACAAGAGCAAACCCGCTTCAGCCAGGGACCCACACCAATAGTCACAAACCCAGCCGATGGCAGGCGCCTTTGACATAACGTGATGAAAACAGCACTGCACTGCTGTGGTCCTCCTCCAGAACCCAGAGCCCTGGTCTAACCTAAGAACAACCATCCGACAAATTCCAGGACGAGGCCGCCCACAAACACTTGACCAGTACTTCTCAAAACTGTGAAGGCAATCAAAAACAAGGTGAGTCTGAGAAACGGTGACAGCCAACAAGACCCTAAGAAGACATGAACAAGGGTAGTGTGGAACCGCAGATAGGACCTGGCATAGCAAAAGAATTTCTTGAAAATGGAAAGAAACAGGAACGCGGTGTGGACAGTGGTCTATAGTAATGCCTCAAAGGTGATCTGTGGTAGGCATTCCTGTGAATATGTCAGAGCAGGGAAATCAAGCACAGAGGATATGGGAACGCTCTCTCAATTTTTCTGTAAATCTGAAACTACTCTAAAAATATACTGTCTATTAAAAGAACAGGACAACCCCCTCAGGTCTCCTCTCACTCTGGGAGCCTTTCTGTCCTCTCAGTAAATCCTGCTTTCTAAAAAAAATTAAAAAACAAAAACAAAAAAGGAACCAAACTACTGAGCTGAGGCCGCCCTGAATCCCAAAAGACAGGAACTCAAGGGAACACAGCTACAGAGGCTCCACAGGATCTTTAGGAACACAGCAAAACAGTGCAGTGGACACTTCTACCCCAGTGACACCCCTCGTGCCCTCTAACTAGAAGTGAGTTTCTTAAAAGCAGGGGTTCTCAAACTTCTGGTCTTGGGCTGCTTCACACTTCAAAGTGACTGGGGCCTCCAAGGAGTTTTGATGGATGTGAGTCCTATCTATATTTACCATACCAGAAACTTCCATTCATTTAAAAATAATAACAAACACAGTAGCATAAAGAACATATTTTCTGACACATAACTGTATCTCCCCAAACAACAAAAAAAACCCAGCAAGAGTAGCAGCAGCGGTTTGGTTTTTTTTTTTACATTTTTACACCTCTCTTGCATGCCTGGCTTCACAGAAGACAGCTGCTTCCTGTGCTCACATCTGTGTTCAGTGTGCTGTGACGTACTATCCTGGGTGGAGAACATGAAAAAAATCCAGCCTCATCCAAATGTGTAGTCGGAAAGGGAGGAACGTCAGTAACCTTTGCATGTAATCAAGGGCACTTTTCCCATTGTCACGCTCACTGTGGCAGACGTGAGTTCGTCAAAAGTCCAATTTCACTTGAAAGCAAACATTTGATCTTTGACAACAAACACTGTTGGCCATTTTCCCTGAAGTCACAGCTTGCTTCGCTCATCTTTGAGAAAATGCCAGACACCTGTCGGAACAGCCAGCACCAGCCCGTCAGCTGTTCCTTCAAGCACAGTTGGCAGAAGACAAGGGCAGCCAGTGCTCACAGCTCCGCTGCTGCGGCAGGCAGGGCTCTTCCTCACTGTCCAGACGACAGCTGTGAGAACCGCCTGTACAGAGCCCCCAAAAACCATGCTTTGAAAACCGCCACTGAGGAGGTGAGGCTGGCACCGCCCTCGCCCAGCGCCTGGCACAGCAGAACCTGGGAGAAAAATGCAAGGCCACTTGCAGGCGCCCAGATGCGGAGGCCAGGGAGAGCGCTCACCTGCGTGAGATAGAAGACGTGCGTGTGGGGCACGGTGAACAGAGCGTTGACTGCGCCCCGGAAGGTGTAGATCTGCTGGTGAGGGTCCCCGACAAAGATTTTCCCACATGGCTGAGACAGAACTATGTTCATGATGGCTGCAAAAGCAGGAGGGAAAATGAGGCATCTTGAGGGTTCCAGCCAGCAGCAAACAAAAGACAGAGGTGAAAGACTTTCACGGTGGGGCATGGTGGCTCAAGCCTGTAATCCCAGCACTTTGGGAGGCTGAGGCAAGAGGATTGCCTGAGACCAGGGGTTTGAGACCAGCCTGGGCAACCTGGCGAGAGCTTGCCTCTACAACGAATCACAAAAAAATTTAGCTGGGCATGATAGAGCTGTAGTTCCAGCTACTTGGAAGGCTGAGGCGGAAGGATCGCCTGAGCCCAGCAGGTCAAGGCTGCAGTGGCCACGAGCGTGCCACCGCCCTTCTGTCTGGGTGACAGAGTGAGATTCCAACTCAAAAAAAAAAAAAGCTTTCACGAAAGGCAGGCCAGGCTGCTGGACCACAATGTAGCCTTCTCCTGAAGGACACACACATTATCAAATGAAACAGTCTAGGCCAGTGTGGTGGTCACGCCTGGGACTCCAGCACTTTGGGAGGACAAGGAGGAAGGATGGCTTGTGCCTAGGAGTCTGAGCCCGACCTGGGCAACACAGCAAGAGCGCATCTCCAAAAATTCAGAGAATGAGCCCCGAGTGGTGGCACATGCCCGCAGGCCCAGCCACTCGGGAGGCCTAGGCGGAAGGATCGCCTGAGCCCAGGAGGTCGAGGCTGTGTGAGCAGCGAGCATGCCACCGTACTCCAGCCTGGGTGGCAGAGCGAGACGCTAACTCAAAAATAAAGTAAAAATCTTATAAGGGACAAAAGACACAGCTCTGGTCCTGGAAAGGCGGACGGCTTTGGTCCGGATGAATAACCGACCCTGGGAGCTGCACCGGCACACACAACAGCAGGCACAGCGTCTCCTCCACCGTCGCCACGTGCCGCCCCAGAGGACCCGCA